GCAGAATTCTAATTGATTTGTATAAAGAGCAGGTGATGTACAGTCTAGAATAGTAAAAGCAACCCAAAAGAGGAGTTAGGTGGTGGTGGTGGTGGTTGTTGTTGGTTTGGGGTTTGCTTTTTTCCCTCTTGGCTGTGGAGTTGGGAAGAGGCAGCCCTGCTGTGGCAATATGCCAGCGCTGGGGTGTAGCACCACAGAATGGTACAAAGAGCTGTTGACATGAATTAATGTTCCTTGGTGTGCCTGTCAGATTGAATGAGTCCTGACTGTCTTCAGCAGCATTTGTCAGCCTGTATATAAACAGTAGTTTTTATTTCTGTATTTATTTGGCCTCTGTTTTGCTTTCTAAACCAGCATTCCATAAGACAGGGCTAAGAGACTTTCACTGCCGCAGCTCAGGTGTGATTTACATTGTGTTCCCCTGAATTTGGTTTTCTCTTCCAAGTATGATGTGACTGCTCTGTGGGTTTTTCTTCCTCCCCATTCTTTCCTGTTAGTACAGAGGAAATGTGAAAAGCATTGCCTGTGACCAAATATACCCTTCCATGATGAGACGCACAGGAAACAGAAAGCAAAATACTACAGAGCTTTTAAATAGGTGGTAAATTCCTTAATGGCTGCTTGGTTCCATCTTTCTGTCCTTTGCAAGGGCAAAGCTTCCGTTGACTTCAAATGAAGGGTTGCAGAATCCCAAAATACTCCTGGAATCAATGAGAGAAACTCTGGTTATACTGAACCTGAGTTTGCACCATGTAAGACAGAATATGCCCTCTGTGTTGCAGGGCTGTACAGCTGTAGAGATTGGGCAGCTTCTAGTTGGATCCTGAGAGAAAAAGGGGATCTGCTTTCGGTGGAAATTTCATAATGCACATGTGGCCTCAATTCTTCTTTAGTGGCAAAGGGTGATGAACCACAAGTGCAAAGTGGGCGTGTTGGTAGAGGAGCACAACTACGAAGGTGCTCTGAACGCAGTCAGCGTTGCGCCAGTACTTATGGGACCGTAGGTATGTGGCAGACTGTGTGCCGTGCTCCAAGGAAGAGGGTCTTGAAAGTCTGCATGAAGCTATACAAGTAATTGATTTTGGGTTTTTGCTCGTCTTTGGTAAAATATATTTCTTATTTATACTTTCAGGGGCCCTTACGGCGTGGCTGTAACTGTTGAGTTGTAAAATGTACCCCTACTACTTAGATATTGTATTGTGTCGTTTAGTGACTTCAACCTCCTGTTATCAGCCCCTCCAAAAGCAAAATGGGACTAATGAGTGATGAAGTGGGTCAGTATTTGCAAAAAGGCAAACTTCTTTGTGGATACTGAATGAGAGTCACAGGACTTCTAAATTCCCACGAGAGGTGAGCTGCTAGTGATAGTTTACTCATTATACAGAACGGGAGGTATTTCTAATGCCCAGAAGGACATGGTGGAAAATGGTGGGGATGAAATTCAGTAGTATAAGTAGCAAGTCCCTGTAGCTTTTGGCTCGCAATGAAAATGTATGCTGTAAAGTTGTAGGTAATTTTTTTTTTTAAAATAGAGAAGGAAAGACACCTGTGAATGTATTTACTGATTAAAGAATGATCATGTGACTATGATGCATCCACGAGAAATGTATTACATGTTAGGAGAAGTGCAGTTAAGGCTGTTCTGTGTCGAGAAAGCCACATACAAACCTGGTCACCAGCAGTCAGAAAAGATGAACTGAAGCTGGACCAGGCACAGAGAAAGGTGATTAGATGTAGATTTCTCCTTGTTACCTTATCTTCAGACTGGAAGAGCCTGGTATAGGAGACTGGCAAAGTTAAATCTGAAAGACTGCTGCTCTATATTAATATTTCAGCTAAAGGCAAGCAGTGATCACTAAATTTTTCTAAGTCAAGGTGCAAGCAAATTACAAGCAATTTATTAATTAGGAATTCAGAATGTTATTGATTGTCAAAATAATATGATCCTTGTAGCAATATAATGAAAAAAAAGAACACTAATTATTTTAATCTGGATATTGATCATCTTTTGAAATGGGTTAGGAATGCGATTATTTGTGATGGTGGGAGCTGATGGAAGTCTCTTTCTGGTCTGTGTTCTTCTGTTAGCCCAAGGTGATGTGAGCTGCTGCTGGCTGCAGGTAGGGATGACATCTGTCAGGCTATGGAGGAGCTGACTCCCTGGCAAGTTGGGGTTGTGACCTGGGTGTCCTTGTGGCAGAGCCGGGAGTGGCTGCCCCAGCATTTTAGGTGGCTTTTCTCGAGAAGCAGAGTTGTTTTTATGTCAAATCTCAAACTGCTCCTGCTTCTCCTAATTTTCTGGGGAATTACTGGATACAGAAATACTGAGCTATAAAATCAAGGTAAGAGAAATTGTAATTTATAATACAGAAGGTAGTCCCATGAAATTTAATATTGTGAGCTGTTTTTTTGTCTGTCACTTGTTTGGGCATCTGTCCCACATTTGGTCCTTGGCAGGTGAAAAATGTGCAGATTAGTATTTTGTATCCCTTTAATTAATTTTGTGTGACTCTCTTTTCCGGTTAATTAGGCCAGAAAAAGTTTCAAGAGGACTTTCTTTTTGGGCACTGATTTAAAAGAAAAAAAAAGGAAAAAAAAAGAGCATCAAATAAACATAATTATTTGCATGATATTGGGAAATCTGTGTTCGTAAAACACATTTCTTAAGAGTCTGTCATTAGATCATGAAACTCATGCAGTTAAAGTTTTTCAGCTCCTCTTGATTCATTCAGTGTTGCTAAGAGGCTTTTCCTTTTTTCTTGTAGAAAACAGTGATTTCTTGTGACTGGGACATTGTATTGTCACATGCACTTATTAACCTTTATAAAAGAATGATAAAGGGCATTTTTTTGTTTGTTTTGTTTGTTTCTAAATTATTATTTTTATTTTTATGTTCTGGCCCTAACACTGGAAATATTCTTCAGTGAAACACCTATTACAGGAAGTGTTCTTGTCAGCTGGTCAGAAGAAAAGGGAGAGAAATTCCCAAGATGATGTACAGGTCCTCAATGTGCTCTCAGGGCCAGTATTAAAGGAATTTGAAGCATGTGAATTTAACTGCATGGCTCCTGTGAAGTGTGATTACCATTATCTGA